TGGGGCTGGGATGTGAGTGCGGGCAGCCAGCCTGGTGGTGGGGATGTGAGTGCGGGCAGCCAGGCTGGGGCTGGGGATGTGGGTGCGGGCAGCCAGGCTGGGGCTGGGATGTGAGTGCGGGCAGCCAGCCTGGGGCTGGGATGTGAGTGCGGGCAGCCAGGCTGGGACTGGGATGTGAGTGCGGGCTGGGACTGGGACCGAGCGCTGCTTCGGCCCCTGGGCTCGGGGAGCAGCAGCTCCGTGGGAGGCTGGAAGGCATCCCCCAAGCGCAGCCCAGCCTTCCCGGTAGCATCCTTGAGCTCCCCTGGGAGAACGGTCCCAAAGAGGCTTCTGTGGCTTCCCAGGGCGTGATCCAGATGCAGGCGGTGGCAGGGTACAAGTGCCCTGAGGATGGATAGATAGATAGATAGATAGATAGATAGATAGATAGATAGATAGATAGATAGATAGATAGATAGATAGATCGATCCCTGCTGGAGTGATGCTGTATGCTCGCTGATCCACAGGAGGAAAACAGTGTTACCTAGCAGGAATTAGAGAGGAACAGCACCAAGGTGTCCTCCAGAGGGATCTAAGCAAAGGAAAGGTGTTATGGCAAACAGCTTGAAAAGCATGGCATTACCCCAGTGTTCATTGTGCATCTGTAAGATGAGCAAACCACCTCCACATGTGCATCTCTAGTCCTGCTGGAGGTCCTGCACCTATTGTTCCAGGAGCGTTGTCGTTGAGCACTTTTAAACAGGCTCACACGTCCTTCATTCATTGCCTGTGTTTTGCAGGGATGGTTGTATCAAAGCTGTGGGCCAGGCAGATGTTATTCGCAATCAGTTTTCAGAAGCAACGTTTGAAAGGATAATTGACTGCTCTGGGAAGTGTGTGTTACCAGGTAAGTGTATTTTTATGATACAAAGGAACAGCACTGCCAACAGGTCAAGGGATGTGATCCTGTTACTCTACTCAGCCCTGGTGAGGCCACATCTGGAGTGCTGTGGCCATTTCTGGGCTCCACAGTACAAGAGAGAGCTACTGGAGTGGGTCCAGTGGAGGGCTACAAAGATTATGAAGGGTTTGGAGCAACTCTCTTTCAAGGAGAGGATGAGTTTGGTCTGTTCAGCCTCAAGAAGAGACGACTGAGAGGGGACCTCATCAATGTCTGCGAGTGTTTGAAGTGGGGTTGCCCAGAGGTTTCCAGGCTCTGCTCAGTGGTCCCAATGAGAGGTAAGGGGCAGAAACTGATGCACAGGAAGTTCCACCTGAACACAAGGAAGAACTTTAGTGTGCAGGTGACTGGAACAGACTGCCCAGAGAGGCTGTGGACTCTCCCTCACTGGAGATACTCAAGGGTTCTTTTGAGTTTCATGGTGGAGCTCTGTCTCCTCTTGTTTTGTCTTTAGATCTGTTCCTCTGTATCACAGATCACAGCAGGAATGTAGCTGTTCCACAGAGTGATTCTTCAGATTCACTGCTCTTTCCTGTACTCTCTCAGCCATTCAGCCATGGACCTCAGTCTGTCCATCCTGCCCACGGCTGTTTGGAGGCAAAAGGGATTTTAAGTCACATATTCTGCAACTTTACCTGATAAAAAAATCCCCAAAAGATGGGCAAGTCTATTTGCATGTTCAGCTATTCAAGTGGTGTTAGTACATGAGCTGTCAGACCCGTGTTCCTCTTACAGTGGCCTTGCCATTCAGCAGTATCAGTTCCAGAGCTTGTGGAAAAGGCTCCTAGGGTAGTTAAGTGTTGCCAGAGGAAGTTTACTATGCTGAGCCCAGCCTAAGCAGCATGCCTTTTTTTAAAGAGTACAGGCTTGAAGTCTAATGAACTCTTTCAAAGTTTGTTATTTATCCTTTCTTCCACAGTTTGAAAACTTTATCAAAATAACATGACAACCTGGAGACATTTTGCATAAGGTGTTAGACCTAAAAAGAAAAATTGAAAGAAAACTAATAGCCTCTGGAGAAAATCCTAGATATTTGTCTGGTTGGATTTTCATTTTTCTCTAACCAATAAAGACTTTTTAGGGGAGCTTCTGCTGTCTATTTAACTTGCTTGAATGTTCATAATCTTTTCTCTTACACAGTGAATTAACTCAAGTGTACATTTACTTTGTTTTCTTTAGGCCTGGTAGATGCACATACACATCCAGTGTGGGCTGGTGATAGGGTTCATGAGTTTGCAATGAAGGTAACATCATAACATTGCACAGATGGATTTTTCTTCCTCCTTGGGTTTTTTATTTTTTTTAATGTATAACTGTTTCTACTTCCTAGTGACTCTCATCTTTCTTTTATAGAAAAATGCATAGTTTCTGTCAGATAATCTACCTGAGGGAGGAGGGATGAGTTTTGAATACTGATAGGCTGAGAGTGTACCTGCATTCTTTGCAGCCACCCTTGATATATTTTTGCATTGATGAAGCAATACAGGAATGCTGCCTTCTATTACTATCTAAGTCTTGACTTTTTCCTTCCTTTTTCTTTTCTGCATAAATGAATTTTGAGCTAGAGATCAGGACTTGGACTCAGGAGAAAGCAATTTTGAGCTAGAGATCAGGACTTGGACTCAGGAGAAAGCAAGTGTTCAGAGTACTTCTCTTTATGCCACTTCTTACAACATTTCTTCACTTAAGTGGGAGAGAGAAGAAAATGGGGGGAGGAGAGGAAGAATTAATGGGGATTTTTTTCTCTCCTCTCTTTGTCTCTCTCACTGCAAAGAGACCTCGAGGCACTTTCCACTATCTCTTGGGTAGAAAACACACTGTTCATAGCTAATTGTATGAGAAGTGTTTTTTGTTTTCTTCTCTTTAACCCCAGCTGGCAGGTGCATCGTATATGGAGATCCACCAGGCTGGGGGAGGAATCCATTTTACGGTGGAGCACACTCGGAAGGCCGCGGAGGACGAGCTGCTCACCACCTTCCAGCACCGCCTTGAACGCATGCTCAGAGCAGGATCCACGCTGGTGGAGTGCAAGAGTGGATATGGCTTAAACTTGGAAACCGAGCTCAAAATGCTTTCTCTTGTTAAGTGCTGCTGCTTTGCATTGAGAATTGGTTTCTTCTTCCCCACTCCTAAAACACAACATACTTGAAAAACAACAGCCAATATTTATAGGAAGCTCTCCTAAACTTTAGTTTGAAGGACTGCAGTGCAACATTATTTTGTGACTCTTAATGCCAACACAGGCTTAGCACAGAACCCCTGCCTCCAGCTGATGGCTTCCTATCAGATCATTCTTCTGCTTGCATTTGCCACTGTCCTTCAAACTTGGTTTCTGCCATGAGATTTTATTTTGGCCAAATAACAACAAAAAATACTATATTTAATCTTTATATAGCTCCATAAACAAAGTTTAATTATACTTCCATGCAATGAAGACTTGCATACATCTTACAGCTATGAGATGAAGATTAAACTGTGTTTAATCAATTATTCTGATGGCCCAAGTAGACATATCATAAAAAAATCCTTTCTCACTTCTGATTTTTTTTCACTATGGTGAAAATAACATCTTCATGTCACCAGATTTCAGTGTATGAAGGAATTAATGAGGAGTTTTAGCCAGATATTTTGACATACTGAGTGGTAGGCTGCTGCGAGACAAGGCATGTGAGATGGAGGCAGGCTTATTATGTGGCAATATTCAAGAGCTGTTCATTAAAAGAAAAAAAGCAGCATACTCCAAAAAAAACAAAAACTCCCAACCTTTTCTAACATTCAGGAAAACATGACCCAGAAAATAGTTTTTGCGACCTAATTCTTGTGTATTTGGAGCAGGATGGTAAATTATCTTTTGTCAATTTAACTATGGAAAATTAATCCTGTATCATCTTCAGTAACTGGAAGATGGTTAAGAATAAAGTAACTAAAATCAGCTGAAGGCAACAGCTTCTTCTTTCAAGAAGTTATACTAAAATTTAGAGGACTTAATGGTAAAATAAAATTGACCTTTCACCCCAAACTATATATATATTTATTAGTCCTTCCTTTCTCCCTCCCCTAAAAGGCCTTGGCAGGATCTCATTCAAAATCCTGATAAACAGTATTTCCCACCAAAATGCTTTGAGCATTTCTATAAACCAGTGAAATAAATTCCAGTGTTTTTACAAACATACTAACTCTCATGTGTGAGAAAGACAGGTGTGCCTTCTCATTCTGTCCCCACTGATACACATCAAGCATAACAAAATGTAGTAGAAGTAAGGATACTGTATTTTATGTAAGGACGAAAGGTAGTTGGGGATTTGAGGAAATTTCCTGAAGGAAATATTGAGTTATCTGTATTTTCTAGTTTGAGTCTTTTTAAATCCTCTCTTCTCTTTTCAATCAAATGTTTGTGTCTAGGCTATTTTGCTTGAATTTTATGTTACCCCTCAAACTTAGACTCTGGCTTGGGTTTTTATTTTGACTGGGAGAAAATCTGCAGTTTTTCCTTGGTCTCTCCAGTTATCATTTTGAATAGAGCTTATGATTTGGGAGATGTCTGATTTTTAAAAATCATTATTATTTTTTTATTGGAAAATGATTATTTGGTCCTTTTCAACTTCATAATGAAATTTTTAAAGTGTTTTCCTGAGCAGAAATCTTCTGCATTAAAACCACAGCAGTTTTGTTTTGCATTTTGGGGCATTATATTCCTCAAAAAGTGAAACCATTTCTTAGTGTTTCCCTCTGTTTTGTCTTGGCTCTGGCCCTAATATTTCTGCCCAAATTCCTACAAAGGCTGCCGAGTAAAAAGAGAAAAGGGAGAGGCCTTGGCATGGTCAGAGGCTGAGCAGCCCCAATGACTGTTTCAGTGAGAAGGGAATGGAAGAAAGGCTCTGCTTTATAACCTTGCTGATAAATTCAGGCAGAACTTGGCTTCTTGAATTTATTGCCATTGCATAGCTCCCAACTCAGCCATGTGTGGCACTCCATAGTGCCAGTGTCTGTGTGCCTTATGGTGCCTGAAATGAGCATTGAGATTCTCAGGCATTTAGCTGCTGTACATCCCTTGTCCTTAGATATTAAAATTGGAAAATTCTAACTCAACTGCATGTTTTGGGATTATTTGCTCTTTCTAAGGCATTTAGTGATCTCTCCTGGGTTATCTTTATGTAACAGAGGATTCATAAATTATTCTGACTTTGGCAAATAAAACCTTGGGAAGCCCCTCTGATTAGAAACAGTTATCTGTCCATCACTCTGAATGATATAGAAGGAGGAGAGGTAAATTAAAAATAATGACTTATACTGCATGTCCCCTTTCAGCTTTGACACTTGCATAAAAATATTGTATGAATACCATTTAACATATTTTAATACTCATTTACATATTTTAAATAGTTATATTTTAGAATACAGTATAAAGAGGTCAGAATATATGAATAGGAAAACAGAAAAATTTGTTTTAAAGTATAGTATGTCTTTGTTAGCATCCAAGACGCCAACCTTATTAAAAACATTCAGTAACACAATCTAGTATTCTCTGAATGGAAAGTAACTCATGTTGGAGACTACATGAGTTACAACGAGGCTTAATTTTTTAATGTGAAGTTTTTTTCGAGGGATTCATATTTACATCATTTCCTAAGTAGTTCAGTAATTGCATGTATGGCTTGAGTGTGTGCCAGATATTTCAAGGATGTTACTCATACAGCTCTGTAACATTTTCTTTTCATTAGAGGGAAAACTGCTACTGAAGCCACAGATGACATTATCAATAACCACCTTCCTAAACTGAAAGAACTCAAACTAAGTGGTGAAATAAATGTTAACAATATAGATGTGTTCTGTGAGAAGGGAGTCTTTGATCTGGAGTGTACAAGGAGGATACTTCAGGCTGGAAAAGATATAGGGCTACAGATTAACTTCCATGGTGACGAACTCCATCCGATGAAATCTGCTGAGGTATGTCTTTCTTAACATTCATTTTTGCTCCTGTGAGAGCCCAATCTGTGTAAGAATTGCAGTCTTCAAAATGGAGGTTGTCTTTTCTAAGACTTTATGAAACAGACCATCTGATAGAAGCAGATGCCAGGAAGAGCAGTCCATGTGCAGCTTTGGAGTTAAGGACATGGGAGGAAGCCTTGACCTGGGACTAATGTGCACTGGCTAATCAAACATTGACTTTGCTTATCTTCCACACGGGATACAGATCAGGAAAGTGGATATCCATGCACCCAAGAATGACAAAAACATGGTTTCTATGCAACTTGAAAAATATTTTTTTGTTAAATGTTCTGTTAGAAGCAAGAAGTCAAATTGAAGTGAGCACACTCAGTGGTCTCATTACTCAGATATCAGATATCCCAGCACACTCAGAGAGGTGGTTTAGTCAAGACTAGGTTCCCAAACATCTTGATAAAGAAAGCCCCTTTGACACCATGTTTGACCATCATTTAAATGTTGCTTCCTTCCTGTAGGGTCCACCCAAGCTGTATATAAATATAAAACAACAAACCAAACCAAAAACTTGATTGCTCATAAAAGCCTATTTGACTTCCCCATTGAAGGCAGCATTCAATTTTGTGAACTATTTTCTGATGGATCCTTTATGAACATGAGTTGATAATGCTTCCATCCATGTCTCTCACACAGTTTGTGTGTTAGGCTGTTAAAAACACCACTGAAGGTGTGCTTCTGCTCTGTGGATAAAGTGATCAACCTTTCATGCAGCAAATGAACAAATATTTTGTCTCTGTACTCTGATTGTTCTTTCAAGCATTCTTTCCTATTTCTCTTCTGGTGTATTTTGCATTAATAGTGGATTGTCTCTTCCAATTGTTTAGAAACAACTTTTTAAACTGAATAAATTGAGAATAGTGAGTAATTTGCTCCAAAATTTACTTAGCTTGGAGCTGAGCTAGGAGCCCGGGCCATCAGCCACCTGGAAGAAGTTACAGATGAAGGTATTGTGGCAATGGCAAGAGCTAAGTGTGCTGCTGTCCTTCTGCCAACAACAGCCTACATGCTAAGGTAAGGCCACTAGATTGAAGGGAAACTTCTGTAATTGCAAAGCCATGTGTGTGGTTTGAGGGTCTTTTAATCTAAAAGCATAAGTATCTCTGCCTTAAGGATCAGTCTGGGTCAGTGAAGGCAATCACACCTACAGAGAACTGAATGAGCCTCCCTCCCTAGGTCTTATTTCTGCTGGAAATCCTCAAAAATCTGTGAGATTGCTGAGAGGTCTCACAATAGATTTGGAGTGACTTTACAGCAGCTATGGCTAAAACTTCCTAGAGAGTGTTTCCAAGTGCTCACCCTGCAAACACCTACACAGATTAACCCAGGGACTGAACAGTTTTGAAATGGCTATTCCAGATATTGAAGTTATTGAAAATGCCTTTTGCATTGTAATTGCTAAGTGAAAAGATCTCTAATGTATGCAGACTAAGCTCAGACTCAAAAATCAGGAAGGGACTATTGCATCGCACGTACTGCTGCTCATATTTTGGAGCCTGTCTTTGAAGCTGTAAGAAATAGAAAATAATTTTCCAGAAATGAAGATTTTCTTCTTGTAAATTCTTAAGTGGCTGAGTTCTAAATAAGGGGGGTAGTTCTAAATTCTCAATAGTTTCTGAGTAAATTCCACAATTTCAGTGGTCCGGAGCCTGATGGTTAACACTGGCTACTGCCACATGCTGTTACTGCAAAAGCTGTGGCTCACACTTCTCATTGATGCTGTCCATAGGGTGATGGGTAGGGATGCAAGAGGTGAATCTGGGCTTTCATCTCCATAAGGATCAGTGTAACTGAAAGCATGAATGTAGCCAAACTGAGAGATGACTTTTGCCCTTGTAAATCATTGTATGATAACTAAGCAAACTGTACTGATAAGTTTATTTTTCCCACTAGACTGAAGCAACCTCAAGCTAGAAGAATGTTGGAAGAAGGTGTTATAGTTGCTCTTGGCAGTGACTTTAATCCTAATGCATACTGTTTTTCAATGGTAAGATAATCCTAATAATGAAACCATAGAATTATGGCAATTTTTACTAGTACAACTTGGGTATTGCACACTTCAAACTGGTTTCACGTGCACAAGGAGAGCTGCATGCTCCACGCAGACAGCTGCCTGCGTTTGTTTGTGCGTATTGGAAGTTTTTGCCAGAAATTCTTGAAACCAGAATGGTTTCCATCCCTCATATGCACTGAGAGGCCTATTCAAAATGCTCTCAAAGCTACTGATTTTAGAGTTTTCGTTTTGGATTTGGCAAAACGTATGTTGTACAAAACAACTCCTTCTGTTGTGCAAGGAAGAAGGAGAACACTTAGGGATTTGAGGCATAAACAGCTTTGTGTTCCTGGTAACTCCCATTGTCCCCTTCCTTGCCTGCTAGCCTATGGTGATGCATCTGGCCTGTGTAAACATGAAGATGTCAATGAATGAAGCACTGGCAGCTGCCACCATTAATGCAGCTTATGCTCTGGGCAAATCAGACACACATGGCTCCTTGGAGGTCGGCAAGCAGGGCGATCTTCTCATCATAAATTCATCAAGGTTTGTTCTCCTGTTGTCATTTGAAATGTGCTTTAGCCTCAGTTATCTTCACTGAATAAAGGGACACTGGTAGCATTTCAGACACACTTTGATTTTCCTTAATTACTCCAGGGGAAAATCAAGCCTAAGACTTTTGGGGCTGTTATTACAAGTAATCCATGCCTAATTACAAATTACCTAGAATTAATATGTGTTTATTTTGCGGAATAAATTCTCTACTGATAGAGTCACTGTATTCATGCAGCAAGAGACAACATGTAGGCATGGAATGGTGTTTTCCCATTTTCAAGAAAATCTTATAAAATTGCCAGGTATGCTGGGCATTTGGCCTGATCTTATGCAAGTTTATATATTCTTAAACATTTTGTCTTTTTAGATGGGAGCACTTGATTTACCAGTTTGGTGGACATGAAGCATTGATCAACTACGTTATAGTTAAAGGAAAAGTTGTCTATGAAAATGAGAGGTGTGAGACAATGAGCAGCTACTGAGAGAAGGCAGTAGTTTAATAAGCTACTAAAATCAAATTAGCATGGAGTATTTCAATGCAACAGACAAATCAGATTTGTATTTACCAGTAAATTGTTTTCCTGCTCACCTTACCCTTATTCAAATAAACCTTGCCAAGCATTACCCATTTGATGCATCTCCATGTCCGTTGTCCTTCAATAAAATAATTTCTAATTGTATCCATCTTAAGACAGTTTCCAAAAATGTTTTCTATACAATTAATCTATAATATTATTATATTTTAAAAGAACCCAAACAAACTGGCAATAAATAAACAGAGTTTGGATCCAGGTAAGATTTACTGGGGAGAGTGATGTTAAATTACCTGTGACAGAGGGCCAGGGGCTCAGGCATACCCATTTGGGACAGCCCTTGGATGTGTTGGAAGAAGACCACATGCAGTGTCATAAAAATATTCCAGAAAAGACCTGATTTTATTTATTCTAGGCTGAATCTGAAATAGCATCAGATGTATTTGTTTGTGGAAGTTTGAGTGTGATTCTGGTAATTTAAGTATGATAACTTTACTCAAAGCTGTGTTGAAACTTAGGAGCCTAACTTTTTTAAAGCACTCTTTCATTTATCTTTCAACTACTGCTTTTTTTCCTACATCTTGTAACATAATTTAGGAATGCAGTATATAGAAAAAGGGATGATACAGCTCTGGAGAATTTAAGCTTTTGCAGTATTTAAGCAGAGGGTCTGGGGTAGGAGGGTCCCTGAATACCCATGGATGAAGTCTTTTCTTCAAATTTTCAAATGGATGGTGGCTGCAGAAGCAAAAGGGATTGACTTTCTGAAGGTGAGGTCATAAATTGCACCTGACAAGCATGAAGAATTTCACATCAAAAATAATTATTGATATAAGAAAGCGACATAATCTGTGATACAGAGCAGAGTGCTTCAGTGAACACGACCTGTGAGGAAGGACAATGGTCTCATTCTGATTAACAGGTATTTGAAAGCCATCATGAACATGTATGGGCATTATTATGACCTTCTGATCTCCCTGAGCCTTGGGCACATCTGTTTAACACCCAAAATCTGCAAGCCATGCCCTGTAGTATCTTTCTTCATGCTTTATTTGATCCAGGCTAGCCAGCTACATCAGCTTTTAAAACAATGTAATAGCATTCCTGCCACCTGACGTGTTTTCCTGCAAGCAGATGTTGTACCAGATGTGGGCATGGAACTTTATTTTTATAAAGCTTGAAAGGACATCTCAAGTATGTGATTGCACAGCCCACTCTGCCCAAGACAGCCTTCCTAAATAATGTTTATCCAGGGATTTGTGAAGGCTGTCAGGGAAGGAAGCACAGGGATTTCTTAAATGCAGGGTGCAGGCAGAGTGGTGCCTCTCAGCTCAACACAGGCACCATGCAAAACCTGAATTCACCGTCTGCAGTGTGTGTTGGGGATCCCTTGGTCTCAGGAAGGCAAAAGGAGAGGTGAGTGGGAAGCAAGGCCCAGAATCTCTTCTCTGAATGCCCAAGGCATTTGGCAACCTGCTAGGTTGCCAAGCAGGCAGGAGCCCTCTCATCAGAGCACATTTAACATGGCAGGTGTCAGACACTGAAAGGCAGCCACACACTGGTGTTTTGGCTGCCCCTTGCAGCACAGCCAATAGCCTGGGGAGGCTTTCAGCTTGTGCTGAATGGCCCTCAGCCAGATCACTACTGCCATGTCATCACTGCAGCAGGAGGTGAAAGCCATGTCCTGACTCTTCCCCTGCAATATAAAGCCTGTGCTGGAGGTCAGTGTTTTGACACAGAGCACACTCAGTCATGATCCCATCTATGGGGACAGGGCCCTTGGCAGACAGGCAGAGACCTGGAAGCCAGGGGAGTGTAGGGCTTGGTGCTATTGCCTCAACACTGGTTCACATTCATTAGTCCTACACCTCCTCTTCCCCCTTTTCTGGCCCCTGTGTCAGCTGTCCTACTTACTTCCAAATTAAGCTCTTGCTTTACATTTTTATCATCACACTCAGGACAGGAAAACGGATTGCTACAGCTGTATGTGAAGCCTCAGTTTATTGATTGCAGGTGTGAGCCCATAGCTCCTGGAAAGCTGCATTAAATGTAGTCCACCACCAGAAGAGAATATATTTTTTCTGGAGCGATGATCTCCATAGCACATTCCTATGCACACAGCTTCTCTGATTTGTGAAGCACCTGCTCTAAAAATGCTCCTGTTATACAAGAGCCTGTACCTCACATATGATCTGCAAATGAAATAAGAATTAAGTGTAAAGATAATCTTGTTTGTGGCAAAATGAAGGGGATCACAGCAGTTATCCAAAGGGGGAGAAAAAAGGTAAGAATATCAAACTGAATCCGTTTGGTATCATTGGCACAGATGAAGAGAAAACAAACAAAATGTTGACAAAAATACTGGTTTCAGCAGCAGTCTGAATGATTTGTATTCAGAAGTTCATGAAATTCAGTCAAAACCACACTATCATGACAAAGTTGTCATTTACACATGAGGAAAGCAGTGAGACTTTTCTTTACTATCTATTTGTGCTTCGGAGCTAGACAGACAGGTCCTCTAGGTCACCTGGAGAAACCACATTGAGTTTGAGTAGAACAGCCATGCTCAGGTAAGGTTCTGGAAAGGTTCTGCTCTCTTCCAGAGGATCACAACTCTTAAAGTTCATTCTTATGCCTGTGGTCATGACTATCATCTGCACTCATTCTCAGCGACCCCAGGGAGAAAGCTGTAGGTGAAATGGGTCTTGATTCAGGGATGTGTTCCCTCCTGTACTTTTCAATGTAAGGTTTAGCCACTTCCCACACCTGCGAAACAAGAATGTGAAACAGCACAGTCAGAGACAAAGAAAAGGTCAGCTAAGACATCAATGCATGTGTTCAGGAAACCCTGAAGAAAAGTTATTGGGTGAGATATGCTGTGTGGGAGAAGCAGAACTAGAGAGGCAGATAGAGCAAGTTTTAGGGAAGAACATGTGGAGGGAGCTGGCAAGGGATGGGAAAGCTCCAAGGGAACAAGGTGAAAGGATTAAAGGCAAAAATACTTTGTCTTGTCTTGTTACCAGGGCAATGCTCTGTGTACAATTGTTAGGAGACAGTCACTGCCACTTGCTACAAAACCACTTGACCATGAAAAGGATTGGGCAGCAAAAACAGCAGCTGGCATGTACAAAGAAAAAGGGCGCTAGACAATCCTACACACAAGCCAAAAGCCAGCACTCGCCTTCTGCTCCACAAGCAGCCTGTGAGCTGCTTCAATGTCTGGGGCCATGAAGCGATCCTTTATCCAGGGCCTGTAACGAGACATTGGGCAAACATTAACCCCCACAGCCAGCAGCTGCTCTCCAGGCAGGCAGGCAGCCTCTGGGGAAAGTCTTTATCTGATCTTACCTCACCACAGAGCGCACAAGGTCATAGACCTTCTCCAATGGGGTTGTCGTTCTCAGAGGGCGTAGGAATTCAATGCCCTGGCAGGCAGCGAGCAGCTCAATAGCCAGAACTAGGAAACCAGAACAGCAAAAGGGATCTTTGGTAGGTACAGCTCAAGGGGAGGCTTCCCGTGCAAAGCTATCCCTGGCCCTTGTTCTCACTAATATGATATGGTTCAGGTGTGAAAAACCAGTGGATCCACACCCCCCAGAAAGCCAGCCCAGTGGCAGGATCATTTAATGGATGATGCTGGGGACGGTATCCAGCATTTCAGCAAGCAGAGTTTAGGTGCTCTGTTCTACAGACCTTTCAAGTGTACCAGGAACTCTTGGTCACCAGAGTCTTAAATCCTTAGGAATCTCTGCCAGAGTAACCTGAATACTCATATTAATGTCCATCATAAATCAGAAAACTTTTTTAGCACTGAGAAAAGAGGAGCCTGAGCTAAAAATTACAGTTCTCCCTCTGAAGCTTGCCAGAGCCATGAAAACACCAGTAAAATGACAGTGCTTTGGAAGAGAGTATTCTGTCTGGAGAAGTTTATATTATATCTGCCTACCTCACACCTGATTGTTATTGGTACTAATTCCTCATTTTCATGATTCAAGGTCTGTCTGGAAATCAGAATTTTAATTTCACCTTGTTCCACATGTTCAATAACTCTCAAAGCTTTTCTTGCTGCCCATCCTCCCATGGATACGTGATCCTCTGTAGCAGCACTGGTTGAGAGAGAATCCACAGAAGAGGGGTGGCACAAGGCTTTGTTCTCAGACACTGCAAAAACCCAACACAATGAATGTAGGACAGAACAGGCATGAGACAGCAGAAGCAATGGACAACATGGAGGTAAGAGCCTATCTACCACCTTGGGTCCTACTACTGCTCCTCTTTCGAGGATGCATCAGCATTTTACTTGGACTGAATCATTTGTAATAACCACCTTGAAAACTACCATTGCCTCTGAAAACAGTAACCAACAGCAGTCTTTAGATGAAAATAATAACCAAATATGGAACGATGGCTCACTCTTCACTCCCTTATCTCCAGTTTGAGTTGCTGTGGCTCAAAGGCCTGGAGGAAACTGAAGAAGAGCAGACAGTGTAACTGAAACACAAGCCTGGTCCTGCCTGTTGCTCTGGGGCAACTCTCTGTAAAGAGCATTGGCTCCCTCTGGTTTTGGTCACGAATATCACCCCTCCCCTCCTTTCAAGAATACAGCTAGAGATCAGCACTGGTCTGCTCTTTGCAGCTGAGACACTTTCAGAACTTCCTCTAGAAAGATGGGGAATACAATACAAACCCTCTCCCTCCTTCACCTCATTACAAGGCTGCCCATGTCCCTGAGGGTGACACACTCCAGCTTTGAAAGCCAGGTGGAAAGGTCTGGAGTAAATTCTCATGCTGCATCCAAAAGCAACTGGCATATGGCTGCAGGAGAGGCCTTAGGCACCATTCAGTGACAATTTGAGGTTGAGAATTACTCTTTAAAAGAGAAAAAATGAACTCTGCATTCACAGCACTCTGGCTGTACTCGGCCTTTTCTTTCTGAAGCCCAGCGGGATGCTGTGTAATGCCCTCGCCAAATTAGCGGCTTCAGAAAAGCAACAGGAGCGACAGAAAGGTGGTGACACCAATTGCAAATAGGCTGGAGTGACAGTTTAGGACCAGAGCCCAGCTGGCACATTCAGGCAGGTGACAGCAGGTCCCAAAGAGGCTG